ATCTAATAGATTTGCGTTGGGTAAGTGCGGCCTCTGCGTGGCGACGCATCACAGGAGGGCGGGCGGGGGGTGTGGGAAGCGGCGAGTGTCACCGTCATCGGCACCCGGCGCAACCTGACACTCGCACAATTAGTTGCAACTTGACCGCAGCAGCACCGCGCTCTCACTCTCTGTCACAAGATAACGTGACAGATAGTTTAACATTCTTCAAGTTAACACAAATAAAGAAGAATCAACTTACTTCATACACACCTCGCAAACTCACATGTGTAATTGATTGATGCAAATTTCAAATAGTTTTTTTATAAGCTGCGATAAGCTACCCACTACCATGTATCATACGAGTACTTCTTGTTGGCTTAATAATTGTACGTTTCGATTATGTGCCTACACCAAGGGAAATTAGTAAGCAGCGGATCAAAGTGTTGTTGCCGCGTCGCCGACAGTTCCACTAATTGGGAATACAAACACATGTTAATAAAAACGTAGCGCCGCCTCGCCCGGGCGCGGCCGAGGTGCGGCGTCTTGACACTCGACACCGAATTTATATGCTCGGCGACTTTATACTTTATCTTCTGGAGAACAAAGGTATGAATCTCGTAACGATTGTTTGCATTCGCCAGCCGAGGCTCATCCCGAGGTGACAGAACAAACATCGCTTCCTCACAAATGTTTCGAGTAACGGAGAAGGTTGTCGCTTCCAAGTTTGCTACTTAATAATGTGCTAATGTTGTGTTTGTATGTTTTGTCTGGTGTCCGCCGCGCCGCCATGTGACGTGCTGCCGCTCACTGGCTGACAGCTGTCGGCCGCTCTGCAACTCGACACTCCAACAACTTAACATAACAACCGAACTCGTATCTTATTAATGAACCACAATTTGTTTTTCATCTCAATAGTTTTGGTGAGAAAGTGACATTTCAGGAAAAAATATTAAGATTAACTTTAAATAACCATTATGTTAAGGAAATGCGAACGTCTGTGGTTTCGATCTTACTGTGTGCAAACATTAGCTAGTTGTAGTTATTGCAGATGGGCCACAACGTGCAAGATAAAACAGTTTTTAAGGAAGTAATTTGTTCCCAGTATCAGCCTTTATTTCCTATAATTGTTATAGTTAGAATTTGAAATGCAAAGCTTTTGTTTTCAGCTATTAGGTGGGTAACATGGAAGTGCGAATGATAAAGAATGTAACAACATAGTCAATTGACATTAATGTAAGTTGTGCTCGAGAAAATACCATTCCGAGTCATGCCAAGGGAACAAGAAAAACTGTGTCGCACATTTGCAGCGGCGGTGTCACGGCCGCGGCGAGGTGCTCGTTGCTGAAAACATACTGCCAATTATGTAATGTTCTCCACCCCTTACGATTACCCTTACGTTTGAGCGCTGACTTTTCCTGCAACTGCACATAGCCTTCGTTTCGGGGTACATAACGAGGCCCCTAATATCCAAATTAAAAATGGCGGGTTCCGCTAAACAATGCCAACAGAAACGGCCATCGCGCGCCGTCGGCTTTGTTTTAGAAACAATAAACTGTGCGGCCATGATGGCGCACCGAATCTACCCGCCGCGCCGCCGCCGTCACCGCTGTGCTCCCCGCGGCGTTACAAATATGAAATTCGCATGCAAAAATGGCGGCGGAGGCAATTTTTACAAATGGCTGCCGGGCGGGGAGAGTCAGGTGCCGCGCGGAGTCGACTCCGGAGCGCCGAGGCCGCACTCGCCGGCTGCCGACGGCTCGCGGCACGGCCCGGCCCAGCCCGTGTCCACTGGACAGAACGTTCGATCTCATTACATAATTACGCAGCGAGACAACCTCTGCTTTCCGTCACCTAGTCCCTGCTAATTTGCATTTAACGAAATATTTTGTCAAAGCTCAAGTCCTATGTGAACGAATTGCGCGGCGTCGCGGACGAAAGGTGACAAATGCTCAGTGGCCTCAGTGCAGTGCGCGGCGGCGGGCGGAGGGCGGCGGACGGCGGCGGCGGGCGGTGGCGGGCGGCTGCGCGGTGACGTTCGGCGTTTGGCGGATTCATTACAGGAGACAAAGCGGAGTGCGCGAGGAGAGAGTGGGGGGGAGGGGGACAGCCCGCGGGGATCCCCCGCCACCACCACCAGCCACTTTCCTAAATCAGCGGCAGCTATTGTGCAATATTAGTTGTTAGCTGCCGAGGGAACAGACAAAGCGCGAAGTGAACGAGCATGTTCATTATAAAATATATCTAGACACAAGCAGTAGCACGATGTTGTCTGTGATTTTGAAACAGAGTAACATTATACTGATGAACCTCAAATGCCATGCAAATCAATGTAAGTACTATGTCTGCAGCAAGTTGAACAACAACATGTTGTATGGTATATAACATGTTTATGTAACAATCAGTAGCAGTCGGGGATTCTATAATTATTATCAAGTAAAAGCAGGGTCTGCTACATGAGCATACAAGTTGGCTATCAGCAAGTAACGCACGATGTGTCGCCGTCGCCGTCGGCCAACTAAGTAAACATACATTGGATGTGTGCAAATTGCTTCTCATTAATTGAGATTAAATCGCAAAAACAATACGACAACCACAATAAATGTTATTTATTAACGAACGGAAAATTATAACAAAAACATGTAATGTGTTATACTCGCTTTGTTACGTTGTTACAATAAGATTTTATTAAATTATATTAAAATGTAATTCTATATTAATTTTGTTTTTGCTCTGTTTTACCAAAATTGTTAAATGATATACAAAAGAGTGTTTTACTTCAAATAAGATGTTAAATTCGGGGGAATATTATATTATTAAAAGTGTTGGAACAAGTAAACTGATTTAATTAACGCAGTTATTTATTTATTATTATGAAAACATTGGATCTGTATGTCTGGATGTATAATATAAAAATATACTGTACGCATACATGGCATATTTACTTTACTACTTAACAAACTTTTGGCCTGTCTTTGTCCACAGGACTCTTACTGGAAGGTAGCTGGTGTATGCTGCAGTAACGTACGCTACTTTTTATTATATTATGTGCTGACGATGTCGCGATCAGTTTGTGTATATAAATAAATAATGTACAAAACGTATGACAAAATATCAATAAAACGATAATATAGATAGTATCATTTCATTACAAAGTTTTTAAGCAATAAATATACTTCCTTGAGGAGGTAATGTATTATACATATATAAAATAACTTAATTTAAATTACCAACTTCACGTCTGTTATAAGCTAAAATTATACATTGAACACGATTTAAAATTAATTGAATTTGGGCCACTCAGACTATCTGTAGTGTTGTGTTGAATAGCCGCGAGATTTGCTCTGCTGGAGTAGACAACTTGCCCCCAACATTGTCAGTTTACTTATTACAAGAATGTGATGAGGCACTCGTCATTTAACTAATTTTATAATTAAAGCTTAATTTTATTTTACACAAAACATTTTCATCAATGCTACTTTAACGCATAAAATTTTAGAGACTATTTTAAGTGGTATAGCCCGCTTTGACATCTCCGCACGAATCGGCCCGGCTCGCCCGGTGAAATACCACGAACACACAGAAGACAGGCGTCAAGTGGAAGCAATTCCGCGTTACGTCTGATGAGTGTGCATCCCGGAGGCCTCATTTAGTCCTCTTTCCCTTCCCACCCTTTTTCTTATAAGGAAAGGATGGGAAGTGGAAGCGGTCTTTCCGGATGAGAGGATGCATGGAAAGGGAAGATATTTTCTTTCAGTGCATCCTCTCCTCTGTCGACTAAAGGTAGGCAACGCATATTCAATATTAATTATTAATGGTCTCTTCGCTATTTCGGCGATTTCAGGTGGCGGCTCGCTCGTTTGCCACCTTGTGATATAAAAAAAGTCTATCCATTCTATTATACCGGGGTAATCTTAATAATAATATAAATGCAAATGTTTAGAAGGATGGATGGATGGATGGATGTTTGTTTGAAGGTATCTACGGAAGGGCTACATGTATCTCTCTGAAATTTGGTATGGATGTAGAACATGGTCTGCAAGAACACATATACTACTTAATATGTTTGTTTTTAATTCCGTGCGGACGGACACGCGGGCGACAGTTAGTTTATAAATGCAGAGTTTAAATACCAAACAATTACAATCTTATTATCAATTCAAAATGTACGTGATTAATCTGTTTTTAAAATTTTAAAGTGATTGTAAAAAAGTAAACTGAAAGCTTTTATTATCTAGTAGAGTGTGCGATTATTATTAGTGAAGTGTCCACAAGTGCAAGTGCAAGTTGCATATCTTTGTGTTATACAAATCCTACTGAAAATAGAGTGTAAGAACTCACTAACGCTACTAACAAACTAATTAAAGCAGCTTAGTTGTATCTACGTCCGATATTAATAATTGATTTTCATCCATTCTAAAAAATATCCAGGATATTTTTAATTAACATTTCGTCATTGATCGCATTGTTTTTGTGCTTCTTTTCATAGAAAATAATTAAAATAACTTTAGAACTGATATCAATATCAATTTAAGCGGCAAATAAAATCTTTTTACTTTGTTTTGTTTTAGATGAAAATGTGCATGAATCATAATGTTGACTTGATCGACACATAATATAGCTGTCTCTGTTTTTTCAAAGAGAATATGAGAGACGACAAAATCTATCAATAAAATTGTCAGAGGTAGTTTTTCCGCCAGTGAAACATCTTTACAACAAAGTTGCAGTGTTCGGAGTGAGAGTGTTGAGTTTCGCGAGGGAGTGTGGACCAGCGAGTCATATCGCCACTTGACACATGGAACCTAACAGTTGTTACATTGCGGATATTAAACAAAATTGTTGTTAGAGTCGCGGTGTGTGGTGGCAAGGGTTGCGCGGGGAGGGTAGGGGAGGGGGGGGTGTCGCACGTGTTTAATCACACATAATGTTGTGTTGTTGGCAATCGGCGGACGCGGGCGGCGGGCGGCGGGCGGCGGCGTCGAGTAGATAATTATAAAAATTACATCGTGTCAGGTACTGACCTGTCAAGTGGGGCTGCGCCGTCGGGCTGTAGGGGCCCTTGATCTGCGGGAAACCTGCGGACGAAGAATTACATTAATTGAGCAACAAACAATTAAGGGCGGCGAGGAATTCCAATTGAAAGTGGCGCGGGGATTTAGTGAGGGCGGGGGCGGGATGCGGGGCGGAGTGCGCGGGGAGGGTGCGGGCTGCGCGCACACAGAATTAACTAATCCGACGAAACGAGACGTTTTTATGTGGACATCGCGTCCCGGCGTCTGGTCGTCCACTGGTGACAGTGATCTTAGCTTCAGTTTAGTACTAAAGTTGCTGATAAAATATAACATGAATTCAATCAATTTTGTATTAAAATATAGAATATAATGCTTAAATGATGTTTTATTTACGTTAAGTAGTTACTTTGTAACAGTAGGTACAATAGTAGCTGAGTTAAGTGGCAGTGTTATTGTCACAACAAAGCACAACACTCAACACAACCACTATGGATACAGACAAAAAATGCGACAATGGAAACAAAACGTCCTCTCTTGTAACTGTCGAAAACGGAAATTCGCATTACACGTCTTTAACAATTAAATTGTGAGTAAAAAGAAAGATAAAAAGAGTAATCGCCATCAGAATATGTTAAATTTAATCTGAAAGGATTTCAGAATTAGGCTATCGATAATACAATCGTCGGTTCTTTGCAGTTCTCAGCGTGCGGTATTCTGCAATATTGACCTGATGATCGCTCCATCTCCTCAGATGTTTGCCTCTCCGCTGTACCGTTTCAAGTATTTTGTTACTAAATAACTCAACAATATGAAAACATTTGTTTATGACAGTTATTTATTCAAATCAAAGATGTACTTATGATGTTTGAACTGATAACTTTTCAAGATGTGAAGCATCGTATGTTAGAGCTCACGTCATTTAAGTCCTCGTATTAAATAGTTTACGTCATTCAATAAGGGCGTCATTTTATTTTGTAATCTCCCTTTATAATTCGTGTTAGAACAAAGCAATTAAAAAATATTTACGTCAAAAGAGGCAGAGCGAGTCACCGATAGATTGTTCTCGATTTAATTGTAAGGCGAAGCTTTCTTAAGCCTATCGGATTTCAAGGGATTAGACAAAAACCAATAGGGACAACAAAAATAGCGCGCTGTAATCGAATCGCCACAGACTAAATCGAATTTCGCAAAGCATAGACAATGCGCGCACAGAACAGGCGAGCATTCATCGCGCGCCGAGGTACGGCGACCCACGCGCTCTATTATCGTTTCAAACACCCGTTCACAATTGTCGTAGAAATTTAACAATATTAAGCGGCAAAAAATACACAATGGTGGCGTAAAGACTTCCTCAATTATGTGCCGAGTGGCGGCTGGGTAAATGTGCGAAGCGAAGCGTGCGACCGAACCCGCGCGCCCCCGCACTTCCCCGCTCGCACGCTGACCGCCGCGGACTTCGTCACTGGCCGCGGAGGGACAGGTGCCCCGATTGGTCATTCACAAAAACATTTCTATACAATATTTGTTCAAGTACCCAATTATGAGTTGTCGCTGCCTAATTGTTATGCTCGTTTCAATCAAGATATGTTTTGTCAAACATTTTGAAAAAATGCGCCTGTGTTAATGACAACGTAAGAGGTACCAACATCTATCTGCACTAAAACGAGTCGATCACACGTGCTGCATAAATATGTTATGTAGTAACTTAATAATTAAGTTTAATATTTAACTTAACAGTTATGGCAGGTAGTTGTTTAAGTTCCTTTACAAATGTTTAAACATGAATGTCTTCTTTTATCATGTCTACCTATATTTAATGTGGTAGGCGTTCCTCCATTCACTTTCAGTTGTCAGTCAGTTTGACGACATCATCAATGGACAAAAAGATGAGTTTTTACAGACAGCTAATGTTAAATTATGCTTTGTATGAGTGCTAATGATTTAAAAGTTGAATAGTAATGTCTGAATAAGTCGCAACTTACAAGAAAACTTCACGCTAGCGGACTACATACTTAACACGTGGTGTAACATATTACTTTCATGTTAAAAATCTATATAGAGCGTGTTGCTTATCGGAACACAATGTGGAAGATTATGCCCGCGGGTGGCTCAGTACCCATTGTCCCATGTCATCCCATTGTGCCCACATTAGCCCTCTTTGCCCACTTTTAGCCCAAATAGGCCCACTTTGCCCACATTGGCTCACTCAACGCGTCAAGTGCGCTGTCGACTTAGCGACTCCTGCGCATCGATAGTCGATAAACTTATTGTTGCGGGGATAACAAAAATAACTATAGGATATACAGCGTTGAGTCAAAATTTTATACAAGATTATAATATGTTAACTGCTTAGTTATTTAGAGTAAAAATGTGTCATTATTAAATATTGTTAAAATAAGTTAAACATAATAACAATTGAAAAACTGTTTTTTATGCTCTCATTTTAATAGCCCTAAAGTATTTAAAAAAACGTCAGATAATCGCTCCAAAAGGCAAATAAATAACTCAAATAGAGTTAAGCAAATAGCACGGTTTGCTTGTACTAACATCTCCACGTGGTGTGTACTCGCACACACACTGGCGCATTCCTCTCTAGGCCAACAATAAATATGTTATCATGAAAGATCCCGCTGCTCTTGTTATGATTATTATCTTTTTAAATTCATTGTTATTAGATGATAAAGTTACAATGTTTTGTTGTTGTCTTATAGAATATATTATTACATTGGAGTAAATAAAACAATTCTGTGCTACTTTGCTATAAACGATAGGAACTAGTTGCCTCATCTGTGGCTCCTGTAGTACATAGCAAAAGTGTCGAGAATGAGTAATAGCTTCATCGTAACATACAAGAGATGAACTCTACAAAAAATACAGTGTCAACGTCTCCATACTTTATGTCAAGGTGTTATAAAGTAAGTAATATGCAAACATAGAGCAGGTCATTAGCGTGTTTGTTGTATGTGCTTCACTTTCACGTCATCACCACATCAGGCACTAACTAATGGAGTGGGCTAGAGTTGGCTAGAGTTGGCTGGAGTTGTTTGGAGTGGGCCAGTCAAAGGCGCAGTTATTAACATATTGCAGTAGTTGTCGCGTGGAGAGCGCTATTAGCCCATCGATACAAAACTGAAGCCTCAGCCGAGCGGCGCGAAAGTGCGGATAAAGGCTTTGTCGGCCGCTAGCCCTCTCGATGGGCGCGAGAGCCCTCGAGGCAGGAGGGCCCTCCCCGGAGCCTCCGAGACGGTCGCGACGTAAACAACAACACGGTACGCTACGCCCGCCCGCAGACTGCACTATTCCGTTTTCTTATCTTACATTACAAAAAGTAAGTTAAGTATTTTCTATCTGACCTAAGTTTTTACTTATCATTTGACAAAATGGAATATCTTTTGTGAATTAATTCATTATATGTTAATTTATAAATACAAATAAAACATTTGTACTTCGGCCTGATTAATATTATTAAAATAAACATTATAATTGTAATGACTGATGAGTTGCACGCGTCTCGACATAAAGCTATAATATCGGATCAATTCATATTTTTGTCCTTTGATACGCAATATTAAAAGTTATATAGTTAGTGATGGCTATCCGTCGGGCGTCAGCTGCGACCCCCCGCGCACCCGCCGCGCACCCCCCGCACCCACCGGTTTGTTTTCACACAAAGGAGCGACTTAATTGAGTCGTCAGTCGGTCGCTTCGTATTGGATTTCAGTTGCTTAATTAATAGAGCCGAGAGGGCCGAGCGACGCGATATCGGCCCTGACTAGTGAAGGTCCGCGTCGTCGGCTCTCCAATGTCCGCTGACTAATTTATTGATTAACTTTCGAATTGAGAAGCTGCGGGCTTCATTTAGAAACAGATGTAGATGTGACAACATCTCAACATCGAGAAAACCTTTTTCCCCATTAATTAGGTCACTTACATTAATGTAATTCACTAGTATTTACACACTGCATACAGAACATTAGGGAACTACCACGAGCTTCCTACGGGCACCACGTCGTCGACCGCGCAGCGCGTATAAAGGCAATAAATTAATATCCAATCGGCAGCCGAGGGTCGGTTAATTGAACCTGGCTCCGGCGTGCTCGTAATCCGCGAGGAATGCGCGCTGCACCGCCGCGCCCGCCGAGCCCTGACCCCCGCTCGGTGCTTACTGCATCCCGGTGTGCCGCTAGGGAGGGGTCTCGCTTAACCGGAGGCTGCTAAACTCTAATGCTCGGTGCTATTTCAATTACTGGCTCGCCCTCCGCATTTCGCGGCTAATCCGTTAACAAAAGATCTCTTATAATTCGAGACACCCGCAACGCGCGGGGCAATTGAAATTTTATTGCGGTCGCCTCTCGCCGCCGCCGCCCGCTTGCCGCCTGGCCGCACCCGCCTGCCGCTGCGCGCCTCTGCTTTACTTCCTAATAGAAAAGGAATTCCTCGACACAGCGACCTCGCTATTGTAAAGCCAACACGCGATGATTAAATTCTGAAATGTACTTTTCTTCTGAGCCTAATAAGAAGTTATAAATAAATCAAACGAGAATGGACTACATTAATAGACGACGCGATTCCTTACATAGTAGCTGAGATTGGTAAATTTTAAATAAAAACTTTAAAATTAACGTATTTTCTTAATTGTGCGACATAAGAACCTAAACTGCATTTTTTGCAAATAGCATATGACATAATGACAAGGAAAATATGTTATTTTTCTTAAAAGAAAACTGCGACAGTTATAAGCGTGTGCGGTTCTGTGTGTAAACTCGTTGGCTGTTCCGAGCTATTGAGTTATTGTTACAATTATCACCGCGCGTCAGTGTCGCGGCCGCACAATGGCGACAAAGCGAAGCTACGGCAAGAATAATCCCATTCATTCGCTAATTCAGTTGTAAAGAGTGGCGTAAGGCGTCACAGAGGGCGCCTCGGAAGTGTCACGTAACGTTACACTGTGCATGGGTATACGGCGACGCCTGGCGGAGGCGGGCGTGGTGTGTCCGCTGTCACAACAAGGTGACAGATGCATAATGTAACACAATGCAAGGGTTGACGACGACATAGGAGTA